CTCTTTTGCTGATTAAAAAAAAAAAAACTGGAGGTTTTTTTTTTTTTTTTTTTTTTTTTTGGTGGCCTCAGGTTGCCTTCAGCCCAGGTCTGGTTTGGCTTGAGTGTCTGGGTTTCTAACCACAGCACCCTGAGGCTGACTGCTTTGTTTAAGAAGGCTCTTAAACAAATAAAGGGCCAGCCTGCCCAAAATAGGGTTTTGAGATTTTACAAACAAGGTTAAACAGTTGCTTTTTTTTGTGTGGAACTGGGAATTGAACTCAGGCCCTTGTGCTTGCCAGGGAAGCGCTTATTCTACTGAGCCATCTCCCTGGCCCTAAAAAAAAAAAATGAAAGTCTTTTTAATTAAAAATTATTATTATTATTATTATTTTTTTTTTTTGGCGGAACCGGGGATTGAACTCAGGCCCTTGTGCTTGCCAGGGAAGCGCTTATTCTACTGAGCCATCTCCCTAGCCCCTAATTAAAAATTATTTATTGTCTTTTTAATTATATAATTAAAAGAATTCCTTATATATGCTGCATACAAATTATCAGATACCTCATTTGCAAATATTTTCCCTCAGTCTGTCCCTCATTCCCTCCATCCTTCTTCCCTCTGTGTTCTGGGCTGAATCTAAGAGTCAACATAGACCGAACCCACATTTTTACCGCTGACCTACATATCCATTTGCTCCATTTTCTTTTCTTTTCTTTTCTTTTCTTTTCTTTTCTTTTCTTTTCTTTTCTTTTCTTTCTTTCTTTCTTTCTTTCTTTCTTTCTTTCTTTCTTTCTTTTTTTTTTTTTTTTTGGTGGAACCAGGGATTGAACTCAGGCCCTTGCGCTTGCCAGGGAAGTGCTTATGTTATTGAGCTTTCTCCTGGGCCCCTGCTCTGTTTTCTTATGATGTCTTCTGAAGTGTAGAAGTCTTAGCATTTAGCAGTAACCAGTTTAGCAGTTTCTTCTCTTCTGGATTTTGCTCTTGGTGTGTAGCAGAGACTGCTTTGCCCAATTTAAGAGCATGAAGATTTTTCTCTTGTATTTTCTTTTTGGTGGTCGCTGTGCTTTTGCTTTTTTAATGTATTTAGTACAGTGTCTAGAGGGTCTCACCACACAGATCAGACTCTCGGTGACCCTCCTGTTTTCAGCCTTGGAAAGGTAGGCACGCTCCACCACGCCCAGTCTCATTCGCTCTCTCAGTGTGCCCTGGGCGCAGGGCTGACACAGAGCCACGGTCCCTGTAGTCCTTGCCTAGGCAGGCACGTTAGTCCACTGAGCTATCTGCTCGGCCCTGTTCGTTTTGAGACAAAGTCTCACCTTATAGTTCAGGCTAGCTTTGAACTCGCCATGTGGCTCAAATTGGCCTTGAACCCGCGCTCCTCCTGCCTCTACCGCCCCGGTGATGGGATCATAGGCGTGTATCACCATGCCTGGCCTGCATTCTCTTCTAGAAGTTTTAGGGGTGTAGCTATTAAGTTGTAGCCTCTGACCCCTTTGAGGTGTGTGTATGGTATGAGATTTACGTTGAGGTTGATTCTTTGTGCAGAGAAGAACTCACACAGAAAGGCTGAGACTGCTATTGTTAGAAAGGCCTGCTTGCAAGGCTGGCCCATGGCTGGCATCTGGAAACTTAGATTTTAGGAGAGTTTCCTCTTTCCCAGACTGGCAGGTAAGCTCATTGTCCCTAAACTGTTTCTACAAATGAAGTGGGGTCCATGCCGAGCTTCCTGATTTCCTTCTGAGAACCTGGAATTTTGAAACTGTGCTAAGTCGAGGTGCCTCCCTGATGAGCCCCTAGTGAAAGTTCTTGACACTGCACCTCTTGGTAGGTGACAGTGCGTGTGTTTGTAAGTGGAGGGATTAGCATGTTCTGTCTGACTTCACTGGGAAAGGACTCTTAGAAACCTGTGCCTGGCTGCTTCTGTACATCAAGCCCGTGGGCATGTTGGATCTGTCCGGTTCCTGACTTTTCTCCTCCTCTCCTCCTCTCCTCCTATCCTCCTCTCTTGCTCTCCTCCTCTTCTCCTGTCCTCCTGTCTTCATGTCTTCCTGTCCTCTCTCCTCCTCTCCTCTCTTCCCCTTCTCTCCCTCCTCCCCTTCCCCCTTCCCCCCTTCTCTTTCCTCCATCCTCCCTCCTCCCTCCTCCCTCTTTTTCTCCTCCTTGTCCCCCACCCTACTCCCTTGGACTCAGGAACTTCACCTTAAACTGAGTTCCCAGCTCTTTTGAGACAGGGTCTCATTAAGTCAGTAGATTGTCCAGGCTGGGCTTGAATTTGAGACCCTCCTGCCTCAGCTTTCCTGAGTGCTGGAATTATAGGCATGGGTTGCTGTGCCTGGCTGTGTCCTTTTGCTTAGATGAATCAAAGACTTGAGTCCTGAGAGTGCTGCTGAATCCGTGAACTGAGTGTGGGCTTGGGATCCCAGGCAGTCATACATCTGGGTATTGAATCATTTCACCACCAGAAATGTCCCTGGGCTCTGTTCCTCTGTGTGCTCCATCCTGTTTTGATTACTGTGACTTTGTAGTAAGTTTAAAAAAAAAAAAAAAAATTTAAAAATAAGTTTTAAAATCAAATATCAGAAGTCCTCCAAATCTGGTCTTCTCTTTCAAAATAATGTGGCTATCCAAGGTTCTTTGTATCTATCTCCATATAAATTTTAGGATTTGTTGGTCAATTTCTGCTACAAAGTTTATGGAATTTTAAATTTTTTTTTTTTTTTTTTTTAAATTGGGATTGCATTGAATCAGTAAAGCAACTGGAAAGCTTGGTTTTGTTTTGTTTTTGTCTTTTTGAGACGGGTCCCACTGTGTGGTTTGGGCTGGCCTTGAGCTCACTGTGTAGCGTAGGCTGGCCTGGAACTCACAGGGGTTCTGCCTCAGCCTCCGGATTACAGATGTACACCACCATGCCTGGCTGAGACTTGACATTTTGAGCATAAACAGTCTTCTAATCCTTACCCATGGAAGAACTCTCCATTTAACAGCTGAGCATTATTTCACAGTTTTTAAGGTACAAAACCTACACTTCTTTTGTTAGATTTATTCTTGAATGTTTTACTCTTTGTGATGCTTTTGTGAATTAAATAGTTTTCTCAATTTCAATTTAAGGTTGTTAAATGCTAATATGTAGAAATAGAATTTTGTTTCTTTGTTTGTAGTAATGTGAACCCAGGGCTTTCACACAGACATCCCCAGCCTGTATTTTACTGTTTATCTTGAGACAGAATCTCTAAGTTTACCAAGGTAGGCTGATATTTGGAGTCATCCTGCCTCAGCCTCCTAGAGTCCTGAGATTATAGGCATGTGCCACTATTCCTGGCTGGAAAGAATGTCTGTGAGTTTTCCCTTCCCCTTCCTTGCATTCCCCCCTCCTCTTCCCCTCCTTTCCCCACCTCATCCCTATATTCCTCTTCCTCTTCTCTCCCTACTTCTTTTTCCTTTCTTTTCAGTGCTAGAGATCATACCCAAGGCCATGGTTCTACCACTAGCTGTGTCCCTACCCCCGATTTTTGTATACTGATTGTACCTGTGACTTTGCCAAATCTGTTGGTTCTAACATTTGTTTTGTGCATGCCTTGGGGTTTTCTACATACTGTATAAGGTAACTCCCCCCCAAGGAAAGTAATCATTATGTACTGCAAACATACTAACAAAGAAACCAAGCCACCTCTACCAAAGATAAAGCCATCTGACATAAAGACAGTTTTATACCTTCCTTTCCAATTTGGGTGCCTGTAATTTATTTGGATCCATACAGATGATTAGAGGCAACTAGAGGGGAGTCAGGGGTGGTGGCTCACACCTGCAATCCCAGCATCCCTGGAGACTGAGGCAGGCTGACTGCAAGTTGGAGTTCAGCCTGGGCAGCTGAGTAACACCATGTTTCAAAAGAAAAAAAGGGCGGGGATGTATGAGGCTCATGGTGAAGGCTCTGGGTTCAGTCCCCACTGCCATGAAGACAGCAACAACAAAAAGAAGTGGCAAGGGGTCTGGCCTGATAGCTCAGCACATGAAAGCGCCTGCTTAGGCAGAGCACAGCAGCTGGGGTTCGATCCCTGGCTTGCCATGCCAGCCCCGCCCACGGGACACACTGAGACAGTGATTGAGACTGGGCATGGTGAGATGCGCCTGTAATCCCAGCACTGGGGAGGCTGAAAACAGGAGAATCACTGTGAGTCCGATCAGTGTAGTAAGACCCTGTTGACCCTGTAAACTCTGCCCTAAATACAGGGGAAAAAAAAAAAAAAAAAGAAAGAAACAAAAGCAGACTTGGTTGCCCTGTTTAGAAGGAAAAAAAGCCTTTCACCATTAGCTATGAGGTTAGCTGTCAATTTTTGTAAATGCTTTTTGTTAGGTTTTGTAAATTCTCTTTTATTCCTTATTGAGAATTTTTATCCAAAACCCCCCACTTCCATTGAAACAATGGTCTCACTTTTAGTTTCTTGTTTTAATTTTTTGTTGTTGTTGTTTGTTTTCTAGACAGGGTCTCGCTATGCAGTTCAGTTTTAATTTTTTGAGCCAGAGTTTCACTGTGTAGCTCAGGCTGGCCTCAGACTCACAGAGATTGCCCTGCCTCGGCCTCCTGACCTGGGGTTACAGGCATGCTCCGCCATACCTGGCATTGGTCTCACTTTGTTGCCCAGGCTGTCCTTGAACTTTTGGGCCCAGGAGATCTTTCCATTTCAGCCTCCCATGTATGGGAATTACAGGTATGTGCCATAAGCTTGTTAGCTTATCCGTGTTCTTTTAAGGGGATCGTTTATGGCCCTTTAGGGGGTGACTGGGAGCAGTCTTGGTTCTCAAAGATGTTTGTTGCAAGGGTCTTAGGACTCCTGTGCGTAAGCTCACAGTGCCATTGGCTACATCCCCAGGTCCCTTTGCCAGTTGAGGCTGGCCGAGTTGAGGCTCCATGTGGGGCAGGTGCCCAGCATCCAGGCTGGGACTCCTGCAGCTCTTGGCTGGGTCTACCCACCTGGCACCTGGGACGTTTGGCTGAGGCCACCCCTCTCCTCTTCCAACAGAGTAGCCACAAACCAGAAGGTGCGAGAGCAGGTGCGCCTGGAGTTGAGTTTCGTCAACTCTGACCTGCAGATGCTGAAGGAGGAGCTGGAGGGGCTCAACATCTCAGTGGGAGTGTACCAGAACACGGAGTAAGTGTGCGCCTGCCTCGGAGGTGGGGTGCGGGGTGGCTGGCGGCCCCGGCTGCGGGACCTGAGGCGGCGATTGGACCTGGGCGTGAGCTGAGTGCCAGGCTAAAGGGGTGAGCCTGGAACTGGATGGGAGATACCTGCATTGTTGGACATTTGTCCTGAGGTTTACAGAGAGTTGTGTGAGTCCACAGGGGAGGTGGGATGTCTCACATGGGCTGCAAGCTGGTTCTGTGGAAGATGTCCTGCAGGTGCCTCTCTGGGCAGCTTCCCGTATGACCCAGCCACATCCCCTTCGCCCTGTACCAACACAAGGTCTGCCCCTGGTCTTCCTCTTCGTAGGATGCAAGAGTCAAAACAACCTTTATAGGGGCGCTTTACAACAAATATTAGGGGAGCCACTCAAGTCTCCAAGAAAACAGTGTGGTGGAAACACTTTAGAACTTTATCCTGTTAAGTATGTGGGAAATGACTGGTCTTCAGAAGCATTCTTTAGGGAGTGTTTGCGGGTGATGGAATACTGAGGTGTGGCCAGCAGGAAAGCCCAGGAAGCCTTCTGCCCAGGATGAGCTGCTTTTGAGGGAGGGAGGGAGTAGAGGTGGTGGAAGACTCTGTTTAAGAAGAAATAACTCAGGCCAGGGAGATGGCTCAGTAGAATAAGCGCTTCCCTGGCAAGCGCTAGGGCCCGAGTTCAATCCCCGGTTCCACCAAAAAAAAAAAAAAAAAAAAAAAAAAAAAAAAAAAAAAGAAGAAGAAGAAGAAGAAATAACTCCTTTAAAGGTTTCTATAGTTTTCTTTTGGGGAAGACAGGTGTCTCACTACAAAAGTGAGTGGACTCCAAGGGAAATTGAAGCCCAAGTGCAAAATAGTTCACTGGCTTAACAGAAGGAAGTCGTGTGGGGACCTGGAGTCACCTTGGAATCCAAAGCCTCTGCAGCGCCCTGGCTTTTGCAGGCCTGAGCCCTGCTGGTCCTTCCCCGGTTCCTGGCCTGGCCACTCCGCCTGTGGGTTCCCAGTATAGTTTGAAAGCTTGGTCAGCTGCAGTGCAGACAGTTCTCCCTCTGAGATGCGGTTGTTATAGTTCACTGTTTGCCCAAAAGGTCCAGTTTCTCGAAGAGGTGAATCGGGCAAACTTGAATGGAGGCTGTGTCACAGTAGGACTGTCTCTGTGAGGGTCGATCCTCCGCCGTGGTTCCTGTGGCTCTGGAACGGCCTCAGGCAGTCTGGCTTACAGGTTCTCTGGAACACCTTGTGTTCGCATCCTCTGGCCTAGCCATTTCCAGAGCTGTCTTTCCTTAGCACGTTCACAGGTCTCCCTGGGAAGTGGAGCCAGGGTTTGGAAGCTGGTGCTGAGAGAGACCCTTGATTGCGTCCTTGGCCTGGTACTGTGCCAGTGGCAGCTGTCACTCAGTGGGCAGACGCCATTTTGTCCTAGTCAACATGGTGCCTTCCCCCTGCCTCTCTAACCGAGGTGCTGAGTTAAAAAGGAAAAAGAAAAATTTAAACTGTAGTTTCCTTCCTAGAACTATAGATCCTTTTTTTTTTTTCTTTTTTTTGTATTTAGAACAGGGTGTATAGGGTCTCACTGCGTAGATCAGACTCCTAGTGATCCACCTGTTTACAGCCTCCCAAGATGGGATTACATGGGTGTGCAACCACACCCCAGTCTCAATTGCTGTCTCAGTGCGCCCCTGGAGTGGGGCCGGCACAGCAGGCCCTAGCATTGAACTCCTGGCCCCTGCATGTGCTTAAGCAGGCACCTTAATTTGCTGAGTTGTTTAGCCAGCTTAATGTTTTTTTTTTTTTTTTTTTTTTGGTATAGAACTGTAGATCTTTAAACGCTTCTGTTGGGGCCGGGAAAATAGCTCAGTGGAATAAGCGCTTTCCTGGCAAGTGCGAGGGCCTGAGTTCAATTCCCGGTTCTGCCAAAAACTAACTAACTAACTAACTAACTACTTCCATGAAGCAGACAGGGAAAATGATCTCACTGTGCAGCACACTGGGGCTCGGTGGCCTGGTGCTGGGTTGGTCTTCAGGATACTCCTTGCACCTGTTTTCCTTGCCTGGTCTTTATGGGCAGAGCAGCGGCTGCCTTGAGCCCCAGTGGGCTGAGGAAGGACTGTACTGGTGCCTGGAGGAGCGAGACCTGGCCTGCCCTCGGGTCCCTCTGCCAGACTCCAGCCTTCAAGGCAGGCTTTGGGGAAGCCACATACCTGGGCTGTGTCTCACCTGCACTTAGCACAGCTGTGCCACCGTGGCAGTTTCAGTTTACAGCCTATTGTCCACTCACCTGCCCAGCATTCCTGGCCTTCTCTCTGGGCTGGGCTGGAGGGCTCCTGTTACAGGTCAGGGAGCTAAATCTCTTTTTGCAAAACACAGGCTACACTGGTCCATTTCCTGCTGGCCCTGCCCCTAGGAATGTGGGCTCAGGGAGCACTCTTGGGGCAGCCTGTGGGGTGACCCAGTGGTCAGTGGGAGGCGCTGGGAGCTGGGTGTATTGAGGTGTCAGATGGGGCATTCCCTCAACAGGTAAGTGGACACCTGGTGTGATGTGCCCCAAAGGACAAGGCAGGCTAGGATATTGGATAGGGAAGACCCACAGGAGGAGGAGGAGGAGGAGGAGGCTGGGGGTTGAGACCAGAATCACACCTAGTGTAGCAGGTGGCACACTCAGGGCAGGAGGCAGTGAGCACCCCACACACAGGCCTGGGCACTCAACACAAGACTGGGGAGATTGTGGGGCCTGTGGTCAGCCATCGCAGCGAGCAGAATCCCTTTCAGAGCAGAAGGGAGGGCGTGACCAGAGTTGTCTTCATGGAATGTGAACCTGTCAGCTGGGAACCTGTGCTCGACTGGGCTGCAGAGATGCATAGGGACGAACTGAGCTGCTGGGGCAAGGCTATGGGGTGCACAGTGGTGAGATTGGGGTGCTCATATACCTTGTCATGTTCCCTGTAGGGAGGCATTTACAATTCCCTTGATTCCTCTTGGCCTGAAGGAGACCAAAGATGTTGACTTCTCAGTCGTCCTCAAGGTAAATCTTCAAGCACTGGGTTGAGAGTTTAAAATGGAAATGGAGGACTTACAAGTTCCTTGCAGGGGCTTTAAGGCTGCATGTGCCATGGGTCACTGGGTGTTGCAGGGTGACTGAGCCCTCTTGGCCTGTGCACAGAGAAAGGGAGCATGTTCGGTCTTATCTGTGCTGGGCCCCGAAGCTCCTCCAGTAGGTGGTGGAAGGCGGGTTGGGGGTTGGGGTCCCTGGACTCCACGGGAGGCCACAACATAGGGGCTCTGTGTGGGCGTGGTTTGGGATTTAAAAACTTTACCCTGATTAGAATCTTTATTTTAAAGTTGTGTAAGAAGTTGAGGCCATGTTTTTTAAAAGCCAGCTCAAGTTTTTTCCCAAACATTTTATTATGGAAAATTTCTGGACTTAAGGAAAAACTGAAGGACTTTCACAGTGAACCCCTGTATATTCACTGTGTAGATTCTACCATTAGCATTTTGCTTTATCACCATATGTCTGAAACATCTTGCTTTAGTGGATATCTGTCCATTTATGTATCCTTGTTTCTATCCATCAGTCCATCTGATTCTGTGACACATTTAAAAACAAATCAAATATGTCAATTTATTATGCTTTAGTATGTCAATAATCAAGAGTTTTGGGTTTCTTTTTTTCTCTATTTATTCCTGGGTATCTGAGCACCTCTGTCATTTATAGGCCCACCTGTGCCTGGCATGTGCTGGGTGCTGGCAGTGCCATAGCCTGTGCCTTGGGGGTCCTGTGGGTCACTAGAGGCCTGGTAGCTTTGGTGTAGGCACACAGGACAGGGCTGTTTCCAGCCTAGACCAGAAGACTGTTCTATGCCTAGAATGTTCCTGTCCTCTGCCCACCTTCCTCAAGTTGAGGTTTGGGTTGTTTTATTTGGGAGTTTTTGGACTGGGGCTCAAACCTAGGACCTTGTGCACACTAAGGTGCCCTTTACCACTGAGCCAGACTCCCAGCCCTGTCATCTGTTTGGGATATAGTGTATCACTTAACTGCCACCTAGGAGGAGATAAAGGGGCTGAGGGGAAGGTGGTGCCTGTCTCTGAGTTTTAATAGCATAGGCATGAGAGATAGGAATGAATCCCAGCATGGTGAGGAATGCTTCAAAGAATTATGTTTCTTTCCACAGTAATCCTCCTCAGTGACTCATCTCAGACCATTTTTAGTTGAGAAAAGAAAAAACTATCACATGGCGTTTTGACCACTGTAGAATATATCTTTTAAAGGCAGTTGGAAGGCTGGTGTGGTGATACCCCCCTGTAATCCCAGCATTCTGGAAAGCTGAGGTAGAATTACAAATTCATTCCCAGCCTGGGCAATTTAGAGACCCAATCTCAAAACAGAAAGAGGTGGGGGGATGTGTAGCTCAGGGTGAGGGTCCTGGATTCAATCACCAGTACTGGGGGTGGAACAGTTAATACTTGGAAAGCATTTGCACTGTGAATTGCCCTTTGCCTGAGGCCTCTTCTGCTGCAGTTGTTTAAATCCAGATTACAGACCCTCCCTGCAACCCTAACCAGGCTGGAATGGGGGAAGGGCAGTTGGTCATATTTCAGACTCTGGTTTAACAGGAAGTTGATTTTCTGTGTAGAAAATCATCTCAGGGACAGCAGCTTTATGCTAGCTTCTCAAGGCTTCCTGCACTTTTAGATGTAACTTGTCACGGATTTGTGGGATTTGAGACAATCCATGTATTTGTAGAAAGTCTTTAGTTGTATTAATAAAGTCATTAAGATTTAATTTTGTCTGTTGCTTGGTGCCAGAGAGCTACAGGAATGCAGGCATTTTGAAGGATTCTGTTGAAGAAACTTGGGAATTTCATGAGCATCTGTAAGGATCCGAATAGATCACGTGCTGAATTCCACTTTGAAGCAGGAGGAAAAAAATTCCCATGCTGTGGGCACGGCTAACTGCTCTTTAGCCACAGCTTCTAACCGTATCATTTTAGCCTGAAATGGATTCTTACAGGTGTCAGGCATCCAAAAAGGAAAATGTTTGCAGCACTTTGTATTTTCTGCCTTTCACATTTGTGTTTGAGAGAAACACAGGTCCCAGAGAAGGGTTTCTATAGCCTGAATCTGGAAGTTCCATGGGATATTTAAGGTCAGGATAGTGTCATTGTGTGATTTTTTTTTTGCAGGCCCTTGTGCTTGCCAGGGAAGCACTTATTCTACGGAGCCATCTCCTCGGCCCGTGATTTTGTTCTATTTAAAAAAAATAAATAAATGAAGTTTTATTTGTTATTTGTTTGTTTGTTTGTTTATTTATTTATTTATTTATTTATTTGAGACAGGGTCTCCTTCTGTAGTATAGGCTGGCTCTAAACCCACGATCCTGCCTCTGACTACTAGGATTACAGGTGTGTACCACATTTTGGGTTGAGAAATAAGGTTTAAATGCCACATTACAAATCACTCCAGTACCACACAGGAAAAAAAAAATCACTCTCAGAACTGGGCATGCTGGCACATGCCTATAATCCCAGCATTTGGAAGGCTGAGGTGGGAGGATTTTGTGTTCAAGGCTAGCTTTATACATCGTAAGATCCTGTTTGAAAAGATAAAAACAAGAGAAACAAAAATTAAAAAAAAAACCAAAAAACAGAAAATATTAGTGCAGAATATTCAGAGAGCACCAAGATTTTTAAAGAACCCTTCCTAGTGAGCTTTGTTACTTGCTCACAATTGTATTTAATCTCTGGCCCTTCATAGTTTTTCCTCTAATCAGGAGCCTCCCTGGGGAGGGATTATGAGGGTCAGACAAGACAGGTCCCTTGAGAGTGCCTTTCTACTCCCTCTCCTTTTTGTCTTCTCGTTCCTGCCTGGCAGGCATCTACGGACCCCTGCTTGGCTTCCTATTCAGTGTGGCCAAGCAGCATATCTGTGGTGGCAGAGGGAAGTCCTTGGTTCCTTGACTCCTCCAGCTCCCATTTGCATTCTTGTAGGGAAGGCCACAGGAGCTATTGGATGCCTACCTCTGGAGTTCCCAAAGTGCTTCCCTCCTTGGGCCGAAAGCCAATGATTATTATTATCACTATCATTTTATGTATTGGGATCCAGCCCAGGGCCTTGAGCTGACTAGGCAAGTGCTTTCCCATTGAGCTGAGTCCTCAACCCTTGGGGTTCTATTCTAATGGATGCAAGAGTCCTGCCCCTGTGGTTTCCCTTAACTATCCCCTCCTTAAATTTCCCATCAGCCCCACTGTTGGACCTTCCTCCCTCCTCTCCTTTGGGGAAATGTGGCCTACAAGCTAGCAGGCAGTTCCCAGGCTCTGCCCAATCGGTAACCGTCTAGGCACAGAGCTGTCTGGTCCCTTGCAGAGCTGGGACTGTGATATTGGCAGTTTACGTTCCTTTGGGTGCATTGCTGGCATTGTTATCTACCTGATTCTTAAATCTGCTGAAGCCTGCCCCTGATCCCTATCTGGGTCTGTGGTCTCTCTGCGGGTACTGTTATGCCTGTGGATTTTCACTCCTGGTTGAGCAAGCCTCCTTTGTTTCTGTGCTCTTCCTAAATTATCAGTGTTTCCCCAACATTTTGTTTCCATGTTTTGGGCAAAATTGCATCTTAACAGTATTGCACATTTTTCTTTGAATATAATACTATATCCAATCATTGAGGCCAACAAATAGCAAGCTTTCTTTGTTTTTTTTTTTCTTTTGGCAGAACCAGGGATTGAATGCAGGCCCTTGCGCTTGCCAGGGAAGCGCTTATTCTACTGAGCCATCTCCCCCACCCAATAGCAAGCTTTATAGTGGTAGGGACTAATATCTATCTTTCAGAAACACTTTTATGAAATTCAGGCATATTGGTGTATATCTGTAATCCTAGTACTCTGGGAGGCTGAGGCAAGAGGATCATAAGTTAAAGCCCTGCTAATGCAATTTAGCAAGATCTTATTTCAAGGAAAAAAAATGGCAGGGTTTGTAGCTCTGGTTGGATGTCCTTGGGTTCAAGTCCCAAGACTAGGAAAAATTAATGCATAAATGAAAGAATGAACGAAATGTTATGCTCTTTAGTAAAGTGGAATAGTTGTCTTCTTAATTAAATTAACTTTTATTTTTTTAATTAATTTTAATGAGAAAGAAATAGCAATGAGACAGTTTCAAAACAGGTTAGTAGGGGGCTGGTGAGATGGCTCAGTGGTCTAAAGCACCTACTTAGAACAAGCTTAGCAAAGCACAGGGACCGCAGTTCAATCCCCCAGCACCACATGCCAGCCAGCCTGTCCCTTGGTGGGCTGAGCTGGCCACACACACACACACACACATATAAATAAATAAAATTAAAAAAAAAACAGGTTAGTAGGACAATTACAATAATTAATACATTGCATATTGTAAATTTTATCTAGCATCCTCTTTTTTTTTTTTTTTTTGTGGTACCAGGGATGGAAGTCAGGACCTTGCGCTTGCCAGGCAAGTGCTTATTCTACTGAGCTATCTCCCCGGCCCAAATTAACTTTATTTCTAAAAAAATAAGACATTTGTTGTTATTGTGAAAGGAATTATTTGTCATCTTTTGTGACTAATTATTGCTTCTGTAAGAAAAGAGTTTTTGTCAGGCGTGGTGTCACATGCCTGTAATCCCAGCACTTGGGAGGTTGAGGCAAGAGGATTGTTTTCAAGTTTGAGACCAACCTGCACTAGGAAGTGAGCTCAAGGCCAATCTGAACCGCATAGCAAGATCCTGTCCCCAAAGGACTACAAAAAAAACAAAAACAAACTCCCAAAAAACAAAAACAAAAAAATCTGAAAGAATTTTTTTCATTATTGACTCAACTGTTGGGCTACTTTATTGAATTCTTATTATTTTAGTGATTTTTCAGCTGCTATTCGGGTTTTATAACTGCTATTTTGTCACAAATTTGTATTTTTTCCACATGCGCCATTGTTTTTCCAAATTTGTTGACTAGAGAACTTTCAGAATTACACTGATTGATAGCAGTGATAGAAGCCTTTATTTTGTCCCTGATGTTTGCA